CTTCCCCTCTCATCCAGGAAACATTTGGCAACATTTGGAGGTATTTTTGGTTATCACAGCTGGGAGCGGATGTTATTGGCTTTTAGTGGGTATAGTGTAGGGATGCTGTCCCTGCTAAAAATCCTACAGTGTAGGGAACAGCCCCCCACAGCAAAAAATTATCCAGAGTGGCAGTGGGACTGGAGAGATAAGAATGTTTCAGAGGGAAAGTGACTTGTCAATTTGGTGAATCGCTGCATACATAAAAGGCAAATAAGGTGGGTATGAATTGAATGTCACTCTAAACCTGAGTAACTGATAGTAAAAAGTTGTGATGGCAAACCAACCTGGGCAGAAGAAAATATGTTGAGTTTGAAGCAGTGGCATGGTCTCAAAACATATTGAGTATGTATTTTCACACTTTCTACAAATACATTGGGCAGAGGTGATCTTAATATGCATAGTAAAAAATTTTGAATTAACTATAGCCATATCCTCATCCCTGGTTGCCATCAAAGAACCAGACTTGGATCTGAGGCTCTGAGTTGAAGGCAAAAAACTCACCAACTTGGTATACTTTGTAAAAATGTCTGGGTTGGGGGAGAGGGCAGTGCTTATAATAATCGTATTTTTTTTTTTTTAGGAAAGATTCAAAAACAGATTTTTTTTTGCAATTTTTTTTCCAGGCTGAGTGTTCATATTCTTCATGTATTACATCTCTGTGGGTGTTTTTATATATGTATATGAATGTACCAAAAGTAATTCCTACTCTCAGATCGTACATACGAATTCCTTTTTCTGGCATTTCATTTACCAATACTTCAGTAGATTTACTTTGCAGTCTTAGCTGATACCTATCATTATGACCTTCTAGCATTATAGACTTCAAATGATTTTTTGGTTCCTGAAGTAAAAATGAAATTATATTCAGTATGCATAGTTTTACATATTCAGAATTACAGAATCTTGAAGTTGGAAAAGATATTATACCTCATCTAATCCATTAGGTTCTTCAGTGTTTGATTCCTCACATGTTAGTTTCTAGGGCTTCCCTAAATTGCCACAAACTTGATGGCTTAAAACAGCAGAAATTTATTCTCACATAGTCGGAGGCCAGAAGTCTAAAATCAAGGTGTCAGTAGGGACACTCCAGCTTTGGATGGCTCCAGGCATAACTAATCTCTGCCTCGATCTTCACATGGCCTTTTCCCCTTCTTGTGGTCTCTTCTCTGTGTATCAATTATAACAACACTTACTGGATTTAAGGCTCACTCGGATAATGAAGGATGATTTCATCCCAAGATCCTTAACTATTTTAGACCCTTTTTCCAATTCCAGGTTCTGGGGATTAGAATACAGACATATCTTTTTGGAGGCCACCAGTCAACCCACTACACTCCCTGAATACATGTCCATTATTTGTTTGTTACCTGACTCTGATTGGCTACCTCTACCCAAGATCTTTTGGATTTTGGAAAACTATGGTGAAATCAATCTTCCCTTGACATTTACCATTCACTTTGGTTCTCCCTGCTTGAAGTCATGCAAAACAAACCCAGTTCTTTTTCTCACTGAAAATCCTACATTTTTGTCCTTGTGACTTCTGTCCTCCAGGCTAAATAGTCCAGTTTCTTCAACCGTTTCTCTCAAAACTGTGACTCCCATTCCCCTAATCATCCTGGGTGTGCTTTTCTAAAGGACTCAGAGTCAATAGAAAGAATAATGAGTTTGTCATTGAAGACGTAATACTAAGTTCATGTCTCTTCTACTTATTAAGTAGGTGACCAAGACAGATCATCTTCTTTTAAATAATAACAACACTGGTCTACTCTACTTCACTGTATGCTTTTTATAGAAAAATAAGATTATTACAAAAGTTCTCTGTAAACATAATCTAAAAGTAAAGTTCCAGTTATTTATCTGTATACATGTAAAATAGATTAACTTGAAGAATTGAACATAGGTCTCTTGGTATGGTCTAACTTAGTACAAAGTAGTTGTCACTAGCATGTTCCCCAATTTAGCTGCTCTGCTTCTAAACACAGCCTGGGATCACCTTAGCTTTTTTGGTAGTCATTTCATAATTCTTTATTTATATTGAAATTGCTATGTACTAAAGGCTCCAAATCTTTTTCACATATAATCTTTTTTTTTTTTTCCATTCAAAAAATTTTTATTGAGTGTCCTAGTAACAGTGCTAGACACTTGACCTGAGAGGCAAAAGAGAGACAAAATAAAACCTGTTTCTGTCTTCTTGGACCCTACAGTATACTAAAAGAGACACACATTAACCAAATAATGACACAGTGAATGTAAAATTATATCTGAGACAGACTGCAAAAAGAAAGGATTGCAAACTGACCTAAGCCAATTTGATATTCACAATGATAAGATTATTTACAGTAGATAAAAATGGGCTCTAATTAAGGTTGGTGGTCTGCAGTTCTCTCCACTCACCTCCTCACCACCAGGCGTCTGTTACAGTGACAGTAAACCTAACATGGAATTTTGTCACACACATAATCTATTTTTTGCTTTCTAATTCATTGACTTTTACCATGTAGAGTCAGTTAATCTTCCAAACAATTTGAAAATTTAACTTGAAAAATAATTTAATATTGGCCATTTTAATTGAGTATAATAATAAATTATATTGAATGTATTAATAGGAAATCTATAATCTATCCTCCAGTTATTTAATTTAATACTCTCCTTTATGTGTTCTATTTGTGATGCTAAGGATATTTTTCTGCTTATACTTCAAATACCATGTTGTTATCTAAACCTTCTACAATTTGCTAATGTGATTCTCCAACTACATTGAAATAAAATGCCTTTGATTTATGATAGTTATAAACTATTACACTGTTCATCTTGAAGGGATCCATTAAGAATTTGAAAGCAATATAAAATGTGAACTCTCTTAATATTTGATGTATCTTAGCATTGCCCTATTTGAACCTTTGACTCTAATCACTCTTTAGATTTGTTTTAATGTTACATACATACTTTGTGGCTCTTTTTTTTTTTTTTTTTTTTTTTTTTTTTTTTTTGTCTTTTTGTCTTTTTCCGTGTCGGGCAACGGATCGCAACCCTCAGTGTTGCCCCCGTACCGGACCGGGGACCGGCAACGGGATTGCAGCCCTCGGCGTCGCTCCCGCGCCTCGCTCAGCCAGTGAGCGGGAACCGGTCTGTATGTGGGATCCGAACCCTCGGGCGGGAGCGCCGCTGCGCTTCCCAAGCGGCGCACTATCCAGTGCGCCACCGGGCCGGCCCTTTTGTGGCTCTTTCTTTAAGAAAATCCCAATGAAGTCATATTAAAGTCAAATGTTGTGAGATCCATTTTTCAGAAATGTACAGGCTTGGTTTTCAATGTATGCTGATCTCAATTTACCCTTTCAACATATGAAACAATTTCTGGATTTCAACATATGAAACAATTTCTTGGTTTTCAATGTATGCTGATCTCAATTTACCCTTTCAACATATGAAACAATTTCTGGATTTATAACTTGAAAACAATTTCTGAATGGAGATAGCGATGGGTTTGGAGAACTGTTCAGATAGTCTGTGTGTAATGGCTTATAGAATAACTACATAGTATAGAGCTTTAAATCTCTAGTAGATTCCTTTGAAGTGTCCCTGTTGTCATGTCTTTTCAAATATAGTATACAGTTTCTTTGCAAGATACCCCGTATGAATTTGAGTGATTCCCAAACACCTTACAAAAGCCTGGTGTTGCACTTTGCTTATCCTGATTTGCTTTGCAGTCATTTTTATGCATCTCAGTTTGGGACCAAACCACATGTCTTAGTTTTTTAACTTTTTCAGTTAAATACAAAGCTATATCTTCTTGATGGGTGTGTGAAGCATTTGGTGTTCCTTTAGTAGAGAATAAATACAGTTCATGGCCTTGCTTACTCCCCAGAGCTTATAATTCTACAGTACAGATTTACCTTTTGGATACTGTGTAAACAGCAACTCTTGAAAATTTAATATAAAGCTTTTAAATTCTGTTTCTTTTCTTTTTTATTAGAAAACCATATCCTCTAGGCTTTATGGAATGCATCTTTTCCTCAGACAATTAAAAGACAATTGAAATTAAGAATATCCAGTAATTGTCACCTACCATTCACTTTAATAAGATTATTTTATTCTTGAGGGTAATTGTATATTGCAAAACTAAGGAAGATGAAGTATTCTTCTTGACCCTAAGTTGTGATCGATCTGTTTGTAGAGAAATCTGTTTCAGACGATAAAACTTAAGCTTGGTCTTGAGAATCAGAAAAAAATGAATATAATATATAGGAGTGCTCTAACTTTTTCTTCTTTATTTGCAGGGGTAAGGAAAAGGAACTAGTGAAGAAAACTTATTCCCTAAAATAACTCATTATCTTTATAAGGATCCAGATCTCATGCCTTTGTTGCTTCAATGAGTCAGGTTAAAGTGGAAAGTCATTTATAAGAGCTTTATGTTATGAGCACATTCCCTTGGAGAAGTTGTATCCAGATAGCTCTCCATATAAATGTGAATGAATTTTGGCTTATATTGCACTGTGGATTTGACTGGCCACCTTAAAAGAAACAGAAGTCTTATATATTGCTTTTAAGTCTGAGATGGTTTTTTTTCCTTTAATATTCCTCTCCCACTTAGTAGAAGTTGAGGTGTTACATCTAAGGTAATAGAGAAAAAAATTTCTGGGATTTTAATCTTAGGGTGGCAAGCTTATGATATGTAAATAGGAAGCCATGACCTCAACTCCTTGGGATTGGTGGGTCACTTTCTTATACATTAGTCTCTTGTTGCATGACCTATTCAATTTTTCCTTCGAAAGAAGGCAGCCATTGTTCTGATTTGGCTAATATTATGAAGATGTTAGTAGATTGCAGTGACTATAACTGATTTAGTCTAATTCTTCAGATGTTTATGCTGTACCTAAGAAACTTCAGCTCTGTCAACAACTTGGAGGTTGTATCTCCTCAGTTCTGGAAAATTTCTGATCCTTCTTTACCTTTCTTAGGTTTCCACTATATCCAAAAGGAGGGGAGAAGTTGCAATTTGATTATGGTGTCTATCTTCTGAACAAAAATATAGCACAGGTAAGTAACTCTTCTTCACTCCTCCTTCCCACAGTTGGATTTCTAACCCTCTTACTTTTTATAAGTACTGCAGTTGACACTTTTATTTAACCAGTTACATTAATAACGCAAAGTTCTTTTTTGGCCACAGTCTTATTTTGTGCTGCTATAATGACTTCAGAAAAGCAATGGGTACAAATTGGAATCCTCTTGCTAAACTCAGAAGCCCTTCTCTGTGTTCTTACTTGCCTGTACTTGAATGTGTCAGCATTATAATCTCTTGCCTCTGTAGCTTGACCGGTAATAGCTTTCTTCTTAGACCACTTCTAAGCACTCGTTTTCCATTTTTATGGAGTAAAAGTGCCTTTGGCAAGTCCTTAATGGTCTCCTCACCTAAGGAAAGACTAAGGACATGGTTCTTCCAACCCATTTTGGATTTTTGTGGCTCTCGCAACATCACATCAATTAGCATCCCACTTGAGTAATGTCTTTTCACATGTCATAGACTATGAGATGCCTGGGTTTATATTTTTCTGAAGGAAATATGTAGCATTTCATTAGCACACTGGCTCTACTTCAAGAGGTAGACATTCCATTGATTTTCAATTGTAAAGGAAGATTAGCTTTAGTGCTTTGTTTTTATTTGGACATCCTTCCAACTGGAATATCACTTGGATGCGTATCCACAGTTTGGCTGTTATTTTTTATTTTTTATTTTTTTTGTCTTTTTGTCTTTTTCCGTGTCCGGCAACGGATCACAACCCTCAGTGTCGCCCCCGCACCGGACCGGGGACCGGCAACGGGATCGCAACCCTCGGCGCCGCTCCCGCGCCTCGCCCAGCCAGCGAGCGGGAACCGGTCTGTATGTGGGATCCGAACCCTCGGGCAGGAGCGCCCCGCGCTTCCCAAGCGGCGCACTATCCAGTGCGCCACCGGGCCGGCCCTTGGCTGTTATTTAAAGACATTATAAGCTGTATCCTCAGCCCTTTCCATTTTAGAGAAGTAATAAAGTTTGTGATGCTTTTGTTTTTATGAGCTTGAGTGAATCTGAAGACTTATTGAACACTTCTCTTATTCATGTCTGATGAATCTAAAATTATTCCTCCATATAGTGTCATCTTTGCCTTTCTTTCCCTCAACCAACCTCAATTTAATATTCAGGCTTTTTGAAATTTGGATTTTATTAAGATTGTTATTCTTCTCTGAAATTGGGTCAGATTTCTAGTTTGCAGTCTGAATTAATCATTTGCTTCATAACTTCACATTCATTCCTCTCTCAATCACACTGCTTTTACTGTTACTTCCACTCCAGCTCATGTTCTTCACTCCAGGCAAGTAGCCTTGCTCACAGTCTCCGGCCCATGACTCACCTTTTCATGTGCCATTCTTCCCACAGCTGATGCTTTCTCTCCCTCCATTTTTGGCAGATAAGTATTTCAGTCAAAGAAAAAGGACTTTAATTTTTTTTTTTGTCTTTTTTCGTGTCCGGCAACGGATCGCAACCCTCAGTGTCGCGCCCGTACCAGACCGGGACCGGCAACGGGATCGCAACCCTCGGTGTTGCGCCTGCACCTCGCTCAGCCAGTGAGTGGGAACCAGTCTGTATGTGGGATCCGAACCCTTGGCAGGAGCGCCACCACGCTCCCAAGCGGCGCACTGTAGCAGTGCGCCACCGGGCCGGCCAGGACTTTAATTTTAAGGTACTTAGCTCACACTCTGCTGATCATGGTTGTGTCATACCATTGATAAGGCAGTGCTTACATAGAACTGGTCAAGAAGTGCCCAGACTAAGACTACAGTAAAGAAGAATAAAATTAGTCAATAAGTGAGCAAATTAGAGAGCACCCCCAGTGAAGTCAGCCATGATAGAAACAGCACATAGATACTACAGGTTCCAGAGTATGGGAGTAAAATTGGCATCATTTAGTAGAACTAAATTCTGATCCAAGTTCAGAGGTTCTTCTCTCTTTGCCCTGTTTTCTATTTCTTGCTCTAGGCAAGGTCCTAAGATCAGAAGACTGTTGAAAGCTTCCAGGTGAAAACTGCTCTTGCCGAAATGCCTGGATTACCTTGTAAATCCCAGCTTCAAACACACCCATGTAGGGGCCGGCCCGGTGGCGCACTGCGCTAGTGCGCTGCTTGGGAAGCGCGGCTGCGCTCCCGCCGAGGGTTCGGATCCCACATACAGACCGGTTCCCGCTCACTGGCTGAGCGAGGCGCGGGGGCGACACCGAGGGTTGCGATCCCGTTGCCGGTCCCGGTCCGGTGCGGGGGCGACACTGAGGGTTGCGATCCGTTGCCGGACACGGAAAAAGACAAAAAAAAAAAAAAAACACACCCATGTACACACGTGTGCACACGTGTACAGACATACACATGCATGCACACATATATTTCTTTCTTCTCAAAGACTGGAGAATACCAATGGATGGTATAAAGAGGGACTAAGAATAACTCAGCTTGCTTTGAGAGTAAAACCAAGATGGAGGCTGACTATGTGCAGTGGAAAACAGGAAAGTCAGCCCTTCACATCAGACTCTTAATGCTAGCACCTGTTTGGTCCCCATTTGGGAGCACTTCCCAAGTGGCCTCTGATTGTATTCTCAACTAAACCAAGGCCCCGCATATGCTGAACAAGTTTGGTTCATCTGTTTAAGAAATTGATTACTTCTCGTAATTTTGTATCCTCTCCAATTTTATACTCTTTCTGAAAATTGAGAGATTAACTGTATTTGTGTTTAGGATCAATAGATTAACCACTCTAAATCCATAGAGACCAAGTATCTTGCCCTCTGGTGTTTTTTCATCACTATTGTGGCAGTTTTAAAAGGAAGGGACAATAAACTTCTTAAAAACAGACTTTTCTTAGATTTCAAAATTTATTCAGGAAGCCCCTTTTGAACATTTAGAAAGAAACTTAAAACAAATTTGTGAACTTTAATTTTTTTTTTTTTTTTTGCTTCAGCTCTATTCCATCTCTTGCTGTTTCTCAGGGAAGGTTTCATTTTGTCTTTGCCCTTACTACCATTACCTTTTCACTTTTTGATTTGTGATAAATCAAAGAACCATTAATTATTATGGCTCCTAACCAAGTATTATAGCAATAAGATATTTCCAGTTTTTGAAGGTTTCTTTTTGTATACATATATATACTAATACATGTTGTCAAAGGGGAATTTGTCTTCTTAGCCACTCTCATTTGTACCCCATCTCTAGAGATGTGAACAAATCACACTATTAAAATGACCCCACCTCAGTTATTTATAAGCCACGTTAGTGGAGGTGAATGAAAGCACTGACATGTGTTGTTAAAGTGTCAGAGAAAGAGGAGTGAAGTCACTTAATACTTCATCCATAACTTGGTCGAGGATTTGAATAGTCAATAGGACCTTTCATCACAACCAGAAGTAGTAGTAAAATCACTTTTTTGGTAGAGGAAATGACAGAATTTAGTAATATTTGTTACTTCAGTATTTGGGATCAGTCCAACCCAAGTTTTGAAAGCACAAGCTTAGAAAGACAGGCCTTCAAGTAGAAACCTGCAAGTGTTGTTTGAAGAGCTGAGAGCTTTGGTAAGGTCTATTTCCCCCTTCATGTCACTGCTGTCTAAAGGTTATGTGTGTGCGGGATTAGGTATCAAAAATGAGCAAAGCAAAATGCCTTATTTTCAGCACCATTTACTAAAATTTGTCAAATGCCAGCCACTTTAGTTGGAAATAACCTTCCTTGTTGGTCAGCATATAATGCTGTAGGAATTGGCTTGTTGAAATTCACGTACAGTATAATTAACATTGACTTAAAAAACCAGGTTCTGCCATAATTGTCAGCAAGGTTATAACTATTATGTTAGAATTTATGTATATGTAGTTTGCTTTTAATTCCCAGAGCATAAAAGTAGTAAAACAAAAATGAAAATACTGTTACCTTACATTTGTGGAGAGCTTTATAGTTTGTAAAATACATGCATATATATCCATATGATCTTCATCATCACCAGGCAAAGTAAAAAGGGCAGATAATATTAAATGGATTTGAAGACATTATGAGGAATCTTCAAAAAGTTCATGGAAGGATTTATATTATTTTCTAATTCCATTTTTCAATGAACTTTTTGAAGTACCCTTGTATGGCTTTTGACATCTGTCCCTCCAGTGTGGTATCACACAATTTGACAAGTTTGGCAGAAATTCCCTTACTTCCAGATGCTTCATTGTTCTATGTATTTTCATCCTAAAAGTGTATAGAATTAAAGAAGATGGCATTCCCAGATAGAATAGGAACTGAAAGTTCCTTCGGAGCAGAGATAGTAACTATTTTTCATATCATGATATTTCCATTAGCAAGCACAATGCCTGAAACAATGTAAGTTTTAAGGAGAGGTTTAATAAGTCAGTGAATGCTGATATAGCACCATCACGCAAGTTAAGAAACTGAGATCTAGAAAAATTAAGTAACTTAAGTGGATAAAAAAATTGTACTGTGTGTGTAATTATTTAGCCTTTTTAAAAGAAGGAGATAACTGCCATTTGCAACATGTTTGAACCTGGAGGACATTATGCTAAGTGAAATAAGACAGACACAGAAAGATAAATACTGTATGATCTTATGTATATGTGAAATCTTAAATAAAAAGTCAAATAAACAGAAACAGTAGAACAGTGGTTACCAGTGGTGGGGCGGGGGAGGAAATAGGGATAAGTAGGCTGAAGGATACAAACCTGCAATTCGGTAGAATAAATAAATCTAGAGATATAATATACAGATAAGGGTTATAGTTAATAATATTGTATTGTACACTGAAGATATGCTAATAGAGTAGATTTTAGATATTCTTACCCTCCCCCCCACACACTCACAAACGTAAGTAGGGAGGATGGTGACTATGTTAATTTGTTTGACTGTAGTAATCATTTTACTATGTATATGTATATCAAAACATCATTTTATACACCTTCAAAACATGTTGTATACCTTAAATATATACCAGAAAAATAAATTTTTAAAATAAGAAAAGTTAAGTG